TGGGTGGCGCAAAATCATTTCGGAGGTGTGTGGTGTATATGCTATGGCGTTGACTAAAGGTGTAATCGACCGTAACGACTTGTAATGGCACTGAAGAGCATTTTTTTAAAATTTTTGTTGCACTTGGCGCCAAAGGCATTTCTGCCATGATATTTACGACCAACCCATAAGTTGCCGTGCGTATAGTTTTGAACTTTCATCTACTACTCTTTTTATTTACATGTACACAAAAAACCAGAGGAATCGAATGGAATTTTTTCTCTCCTACTATATTTATTTTCATGTCCATGATGACAAAAAAAAAACAGAATGAATCGAAGGAATAATTCTGTCAGACCTAAAAAATTTCCTAAACTGAAGCACATTTAACAGTCTGTAAACCACGTCTTATGCTAGGATATAATCTATAGAATGGACGCAACAATTCCAAAGAAGTCGCGGATGCACGATGGGAATGGGTGGCATACGGTCGGCGCGACACTTGATGTGATGCGACTCACTAGCGAGTCGCACCGTCCCACGAAGTCTGCAAAGCGCGGCTGACTTGCAGGTTCCACTGGCGTCAATGTGTTAACTAAAACCTGGGGCCGTATCATATCCTTCCCCAGGATAAGAGAACAGAAGCGTCCTTCAAATTGTTTGTTTCCAAAATCCCGTTTCTTTACTTTAAGCACATGCTCTTAAGCTCAAATATAAATTAAGATTGAATGATTCTCTGTTTTTGAGGTGAGGCGGATACAGTTTCTGCTCTTTTCAGGATCTCCCTTTATCCGAATTTCAAAGAACAGTCTTATTTGTTTGGCAACTTTGTCGTTTGCCTCCAACGCCTGCAAAGATTGACTTTCAACAGGTCAGTGCTTACTACGTGACCAACTAACTATACGTTGGCTCTCCAAATTCGCTTTTAGTCCAGCTGTTATGTACCTAGCTCCATCACTGTCTGGTTACTTCCTTGAGTTATCTTTACCACACGCGCGGCGTCGCGCTCATTTTCGCTGTCTGGCGCGCTTTTCTCTGGGCACGTGAATGTGACATGATATCATGTCACAGTATCCCACGAGTACACCTTTTTGCGAGATTTAGATGTATTTACTTGTTATCGTTCTTATATGGCAGGTGCTAGGTTTCGCGATTTTGGCAATTTCAGCGTTTCCAGCATTTGAGAGAGCGTGAAAAAGGCCAAATCTAACTTTGCAAACAAGACGGCACCTTCTTGGGGATCTTGAAGAACGGTTGTTGGGCTGCAATCGACCTGCGAATACGAAACACCACTTACAGCGTAGAAGTTTGCATGAGGTAGAGGAAAATGTTCACAAACGACGCAGAGGCAGCTACAACTGTGCAAGATCGAAAGGACACGCATATGCTCTGTCCTCTCTACTCTACTGAAAGCGTCCGCACAATTTGCAGCAGCCTTATTTGCCAGCGCCATCCCTTGTTTTGTTTTGTGTTCGTATGAGCACAAAAGTCGGATTACTGGTTTATCATGAAGTTTCTCAAAAAAAAAACTATAGCTCACTAATCGAAACCATTTTCCACAGACCACGCTTTCTGTACCAATCTCTAAGCATAGCGTATACAACATAAAGACGTAATAACTCAAACAGTTTAACAACGCGGCTTTTAAACAAGACCTGACATGACATCATGTCACACGTCCCACGCGGCCGAAAGAGGGCGAAAGAGTGTGGCATGACATCTACCACACTGTCGTCAACGTGTTAAGTATACGAAACCTAGCACATAGTAAAGCGGCTGCCAAGAGGTGGTTGGTGAATCGTTTTTGCTAACCATAGTCCCAAAACAGTTTTTGGACAGTCGAAGTTTTCAAGAGAAGCCCATGCGACACATAAAATAATAGAGTTTGGTCTTGCTTTGGGACCTATTCTGAATGTTCTTTATGAAGCATGTTTCTTGCGCTGTCAGTGGAAAAAGGGACTGCTGACTTTTTCAGAATAGTTGCGAAAACAACGATCGATACATTTTATAGATTGTGTCTCGAATTCTTTATCATTTAAATCTGCCGGAAGCTATGATGGAACATGTTTTTCTCTTGATGGAGAAAGCGCCTCCATGTGTTAGTCTTAATGAAAACAGTCTTCGAAGACAAGGGAGTATCAAACAGGTATGATTGGGAGTTAAGTGATCCTTAGCAGTTGTATAACGAATTCGTCCCTAGGGTTCGTTTTCTTGTGGATTTTCAACTGCGAAAGATGGCTTTGGTTTCAACTTGATGACTGCATTTGGTCGACCGAAACAGTCCAAAATGAACAACTCTAACACTGAGTCTGTTGACTGTGCGAATTTATCATTTTGAAGATTACTCGGTTTTTTTTAAGTATTTTCTTCTCAACTGAAACAAAGGCTGTCGCCTTGATTTTAATGACTCTGAAGCTGTATTTTGGCTTGGATGACGAGCGAGAATTTCAATCTTCTGCTGTGACAGAGGTATACTCGCTCATAGATTTTGTGCACAACTTTCTATTTATGTTACTTTTATAGAATAATTTGAACAATACGTTCAACTTCATGCAGTGGTACTATCAACTAAAAATGAGGCTGATGTTTTGGGAAGGATATGATCCGCTTGCTGTTCTTCAAAAGCAGTATGTTTGCTTGCCACTCGTCTTCAAACGTTGTAGGGAAGACTGCTAGTAAGGAACACTGTTACAGTAAGCCCGTGGAGCCTTTATTATACGACAGGGACTTCTCGCTCAGTCAAGTTCTCACGTAAGTTGTCGTGCTTGGAGTGTATTTTACACTTTATCAAATGCTCTAAGCTTTTGGCCTAACTCTAATATAATTTTAGCGAATTTTGCAATCGTTATTTGCAGTAATACAGAAGTCATTCCTGATGAGGGCGCATGCACTTACCGTATAGTTCCTTCTATAAGAGGGTCCGGATTCGAACACTGTGTTCCAGCTTCGATGAAAATAGACAATGTTAGTTACATTTTTGTTAATGTTTTGATTTCTTTCGGAGATACTTGTTCTGAAGGATGAAAAGAGTTTTTGTCTGTCAACACTTGGAATGTGATGAGGCACTGGAGGGAAAGTGAAACGGTCCCTGGGAAGTAATCTTGGCTTAGCCCAACTTCTTTTCTTGACCGGCTTTACAATTAGAAATTCTAATACTCTTGTCTAATTGATGATAATGTGGCCGAATAATCGTTCCGAAGCTTCACTAGTTGAGAAGAAACATTCGCTTTACGCCACCTTCCGACCGCTCATACTCGCATTTTTATCCTTCTGAAGAAGGTCATCCTCTTGTCCTTGACTTGTTACTTTTACAGAGTACCTCGATTCCCAACCCATTTCCAGAGGATACGTGTGACATCAAACCCAATTTGAAAGATGACGAGTTACTTTACGGTAAATCCTATTAATTGTGCCAAGTAGCTTTCATTGAGAAGTTTCAAGCTTCGGTAGCTTAAAGTTTTTAGTACCTTTACGACGTCAAACAACCGTTTTGCGTGAGTTTCTCTTGCGTCCACGCACTACAGCAGAAAAGCAAGAAGTCAGAAATGTAGTTGATGAAACGGCTGTGAAGATATTCAAAACTGAGTTCACTGTACGTTTCCTTTATGTTCTTTTGAGAAGTCTTTACTTTTCATCAATTTTCTTTGTGGTTTTTAGAAATGTACTTTGGCGAATGAGTCGTTGCCAATCAAAGCTGACAGTTCCTCTACATCGCACGATGCACGGATTTCTGCTGGTGACCAACGAACGAGGTGGTATTCACGATTTCCCTGTGCGAAAGGATATGTGGTAGATAGTTTTCGAGGATGGTTACCTCCATCTCTTCGATTTTATCATAGTTGAAGCGTTGTTTAAGCGTTATCCTCGCCCGCACTTCACTAATGGCGGAATAGTCTATCTGAAGGAGGACGACATTCGCCTGTCAAACTTCAACAGAGACAAGATGGGTCTGGTACGTTATGAGCATATGTTTATTAATATGTATAAAGCGCTATAGCGCTAGCGCCTTCCAACCGACGGTTTGAAGGGGTGCCATGAAATCTCCATCGCCTGAAGAATCGACTAAAAATGCTGGGTCTAGTTCGGGACGGGCAGTATGTGCGGAAGTGGACCTAATTGAAGGTTTCAGGACAATTTCACAGCGGGAAAACGAGGAGTGTGCGAAGGGTGATGAATGAGGTGAATCAGGCGGTGGATGGTGCTTGCTATAGAAGTTTCCCCCTAGCATTCAGCCACCTCAGAGAGCGAAAAAACCGTGGTGAAACGGACGATTTATTAGATATTGCTAAGCGGTTGAAATGGCCGGAGCCTTTCCCACAGTGGGCGGAGCGTGCTCTAAGCTATATGTTGCTTCTTACAGAAACTGATTACTCCGTTGCAGCATGTCTTAGAGGCTGGAAGGAAAGAGAAGAAAGGGTAGGGAAAAGAAGGATACCAATGGTTGCGGAATCAGTTGCTCACAATTATTGGGGCGTGCACCTGGGCGAATGAACATGAAATATGAAATCAAAATTCTCGAAAATATTTAAGACCTGTCTTAAAGCCTGCAGAAAAGAAGAGGTCGAGAAGGAAAGCAGATTATCTGGTCACGGTATCAGGCTTACTCCAGTAAAATCATGGCAAAGTTAATCAGTAGTAATCTTCATAAGGTTAAAAAACAGCCTGGAGGGTGGGAAAATGAATTAAGGAAGGGGATGGTGAAGTAGATTCCAAGGCATGTGTCAAGGTAGGTGGGCCAAAATTGAAATTCGCGGTTGCTCATCCACCGCTACAGAAAAAACTACGTCATTAGCGTAGAGCCCTAAGTAGTTTAGAACCGTGAAGAGTATAATGATGGCGTTAATTAGCGACAGTGGCTGAGAGGCGGCACTCACTATTCCAGCGAGAGCAGACCATGTTTGTCATTGCTACGGAGTATCCTTCACCAAACAAAGCATCTGGTGATTAGCAATTTGTGATATAGCGGTGAGGGAGTCTCTTCAGACACTTGATTTTAGAGTGCGACGGCGTCAGGTCTGCGCATGCTTTTTGCATCACAAAAAGGTGCTGCTGAGGCCATGGAGGTCGCTAAGCCGGCAATGAGTCACACGTTTACCGATCTTCTTCACTGGTTCTCCAAAATCATTGGTTTGTTTACCATTTCTGTTCTTTGTTAGTTAAGGTGAAATATGTTGGCATGGTATCCACTAAGATTAGAATGCGGACGTTGCACTACCTTTTCTTTAGTTCTCACTTTTTATTTCCAGTTTCTTGTTTTATAATGTTTACTTCTTCATTTCTATTGCGATGATGCGTTGAACGCGAGACGAAACGGAACATCTTTTCCTTTATGGTTCTTTACATAATATTATACTTGTTGTTCTTTTCTTATAAAGGATAAAAGGATAAAGCATTTGCCGTTGATCAATCCCTTTTTGGGATGCGGCACGCATTCTACTTCCATTTGTACATTCGTAGTGGCGTTTGAATGCGATGTGGCCTATACAATCCTCCCAGACAAGTCTGGTACCAATTAACCGACCCCGGAGGGATGGAAGGCTTGGTTGGCCCGGGCGACTCACGACCCAGGATTTGATCCCCGGACCGCTCGCGTGGTAAGCGTGCCACTTGCCACTACACCACTTCCGCCCTTTTCTTAAGTTGAAAAATGTCAATAAATCGCTGAAAGACAGAACTTAAACTAGTTTTTTCGAAAGGGTTTCATTGCGAGAGCTAACAATAGGGCGTGCCGGCGAAAATAAATGAGCCATCTCCGATTATTTGCTTCGATGCGGTTCGTCACTAATGGAAAGCTTGTCTTTCCCTGCTATGATTACATTTTAGGAGAATCTGAGCCAGTTCTGTATTGCGCGTTCATGATGGTGGAATTCCAGATTGCAGATAAACAGAGGTAAGATCCAGATTTATTTTGCCTCTTTCCTATTTATTATAATATGTATATCATGCATGTTTCAATTCAAAGATTTTTTCCACCTGTTCAAACTGCGATTATTGGTCTGATGGAGTGTGACTTGTACGCCATGTTATTGTGACAAGTATTGTTAAGATTCGACAATTTGAGACAGTCAATGGTCGATGGAAAAGTATTCCCAGTGAAGAGTCGTGTAATAGATGTAAGTTTATTCGTGGCGCGCACATGTTTCAACTCCGAAAAATTGTGTGACTGTTCCAGCAAGTCGGAAGACTCTCGTACGAGACAGTATACATTTCGCCTGCCGAAGAAGTGTCCGAAGCTAGTGAGTTGAGATAGTACGACTCGGTCTGCCAAGGCTTTGGGGTACGAGCACTTTCAACATTGAAGCAACAGTCCCAGCAGAGTCCATATTTCAAAACTAATGGATCGTTTGGGGCTTCAGGGGCTATTTAAACTCGGTTTTTTAAACCGCTCAATTAGATGCTCCTGCCTGCGCTGGAATTCTGAATGCTTCTTGACCAAACGTGCGCCGTTCTTGTCTCAGAAACTGTAATGTTTGGAAGCTATATGTTTCTTCTAACAATGGAAATCAGTTACAGGTCTTCAGTAATAATGGTTCTTGAAAAGCAACTCGTCCGACCCGCCCCTTTCTTATTTCAAGTGGGACAGAGGAAGTCCTTGGTCAAGGGCTTCATCGGCAGTTTTCGTTGCTTCTTTTTCCATTTGCAGTCAACTCGACGTCCACACCCAACCGCAGCCCCCAGCGCGCTAAGGAGTCTAGTTCACCAATGACGTCCACTGATGATGAAACCGCTCCACCACCAGCCATCGTGACTGCCTCCGAATTCCAATTTAATTAAGCTGACTGTCCTATGATAATGGCGTGATAGCAGTTTCTGCGTATTCCAATCGAGATTCTGAAGAAAAAAGTGTTGAAACATTACACTACTAATATTTCAGCTTCTTCTATAAATGAGCGGTTTGCGGATGAGGTGGCGAGTTGGGGAATATGATTACTCCAGTGAGAGCAGTGATGAAGTTGATTCAGAAACATGTGGTCCTTCAGTTGACCAGGTATGGTAGCTTTATCTAGAGAGAAAAAAAACCTTGATGTTGTTGTTTAGGACGATAAGGAGTCGTTACGATGTAAAGCTCCGTGCTCTCCACGAGGAAGATTTGGTGGGTTATGCCTCCCTTCGATGAATGGCTTTTTTTAGAGGCGAATAGAACTTGTAATTTCTTAACTCATGTCATGAGATTGTATTGTAATTCCACCAATCTCATAGCGCTGATGCTAGTGGTTAGAATTTCTGATTAAAAGCTGTAGTTAGAGTTGCAAAATAAGATTTCGTCCACCAAAATGTTTATGGGTCCACGGCATCAGTATGTCCCTCAAAATAAGATTATGGTAGGTTTCCGAGTTGATCTTGATGTTTTATCAACAAAAACGAGAGGTGTCATGCCTTTCCGATGTTATCCCGGCCCAAATCATCATCGACTTCCGACAGGCTCCTGGTTTTTAACCCCGTCCGGTTTTTCTGGAATCCTTTCTGCTTAGCCTAAGCCGTTGCCCGCTGTTGTTTTGGCTGTTGTGCGCAACCTCGACCATGAAGATGTTCTCGTCAGTCCCGACGATGTCTGAAAGGCAGCCCGCACGAACTGCTGACAGAAGGTTGGCGTTGTCGTCTAACACTTCTTCTGAAGCGCTAACTTCAGAGCACCCACTGAGCTGGAAAAGTCTAATGAGATTTTGCTGTACAACAACGAGAGTCCTCGGTTAAGGGCCCAAGAGGAAGCAGGTCACAATTCCCTGCTCCAGTGGCCCAAGAAGTGAGCGCTCAGGATGGTCTTGGTCAATTCGGAAGCGTATTAGGGAGCCAGCTTCATTGAAGAGCAAACGATCATTGAGCAAAATGCTCATAACAAATCCGAACAACAACTGATTCTCGTACAAAGTCTACAGTTAAGGTCTTGGCTCAAGAATCAGAAACATCTGCACGGAAAACCCTTGAGGCATTCTGGATTCAAGTCAGCAGTCCTAAAATGAATCAGAGGGAAGAAGGCCTCATGATAACGAGGGAGTTAAGACCTTATATAAGATTAGCCTTCCAGTAGTGACTCTCATTTGGAAAGAGTCCGGATTGCAGCTGGTGCTGGCTTTGTGGCTGGTCTAGAAGCCCGGACTGAATTGCGGTAAGTGATCCTTCTTGGGGCTAGCGATGTTTTGGGTTGATTTTGAACTTGTAAAAGGTGGCGGCGACATTTGGTCGAGTTGTCATAAATGATTAGGCTTTTGCAGGCTCTGACGAAGGCGACCCCGCCGAAACGTTAGCCCATAAAGCTTGTTTATCAACCTCGTGTTGTGTTCAATAGAAGAAAGCTAGAAACACCTGGAAACTGCATGATAAAGTCTCTGCAGACTTCAGTTAATTTTAACATTTGTGGAAGATGAACTCCAGTGGAGCTGCACTTTTGGATGTTACCCCGTCACAAACTACCACACCTTCGGGAAGAAATTTTGTTGTAAACTAGACGTTATCTCGGAGACTTGCTCTCACTTTTTGGGCAACA